TTCTCAGATTTCCCCCAACTTCTTGCCACTTTTTTTCCGTAATTTCCCCGAAAATTTCCCTACTTTAGCCCAAAAAGTTCCTTGTCGAGCGGGGGGGGGAGGGGGGTGCACGGGTATATAATAGACATAAAACAGGAAAAATCACGCTTAAAGTCAACAACCAGGAGATTTTTTCCAATGGACGCAAATTTCTTTCGAAGCCACATACGACCCTTTCTCTCTCGACAACCACCAAATGCGACTTTCTTTCCCAAGCCGAAAAGTGCGATTTGTTTCACACAGTAATGCTGTACCCTGACTCCAATCCTGTGGAAGCGAACGCAGCCGGAATCGATCGACGCGGGCTGCTTGTGTTCTGAGAGAGTACAGGATAACAAGAGGGCAGGCGTACACAACATGGTACTCTCCCATCCTTCTATAATCCCCTAACACCCTAGCACTAGTGCCGATCGATACCCTTCTGCGTGATTAGGCAACGCCCACGCTCCAATCCCTCCATACTCTCGCAACACAAGCGGCTTCGCCGATCAATTCCCGTCTGCGGCCGCGTTCGTGTCTATAGATTTGAAGCGCAGTAATAATTGTAGCACGTCGACTCGCGTTACAGCGCGTTGCAACGCGTCGTCTCGCGTCATTGCGAAGTTTGACCTTGTTTTGGCGCTGTGGACGATGACACGAAAACCGTGGATAATGGCGTCCTCTGTGATGGGTCGGAGACTTTAAGCTGCCCAATTTGCAACCACATGTGAAACATTCAACGTCTTTGAAGTCAAAGGCGGGCTCACTAGCGCGCCTCTGCCCCTCACGACGCAAGCAGAGTGCGCCAACGAAGAAAGAAGATGTAGTGGTGGGATGTCTCCAGCCAAAGCCGCTCATAGCGGCAACGTGAGCTGTGTCTTTGAGTCTAGAGCGTGGCGCTCACCAAAAAGAAGTATGAAGTCTCTAGGTCGCCCCCCCCCCCTTTACCTTTACTCTCATACTCACTATACTTGTTCTTTTCCTTTCTGTAAAGTTGCTTTCGCTTGCCATAGATAACTCAGTTCTTAAGGTCACTGATAGCAACGTCATTTGCCTTGTGGGAAGATGCTCTGAATGGGAGGTTGGAATTCCACGAAGTGGCAGATCAGGGTGCGAACGGCGATGACATCAAGAAACCTCCTGGTGTGGACATTGACATACTATTCGCAAGAGGAGATCATGGAGACAAAGAGGTGTTTGACACTGTCACTTATTCCGAGCAGTACAGTACTGCTACAGTGATACCCGTTTTTTCAAGCGATGTCCCTTTGAAGGGGCATTTCCCCAATTCCTATCGACGCAGAAACCTGTGAAGTTTTCTAAGGCTAGCAGCACAGATCTTACCAGGGAACTGAAGAAATCGAATCAAAATGCCCTCCACCCCCACCAAACAGGGTCCGTCATCGTGTGAAACACATGGGGGTCGTACTTCGGCCGCTGGAATTTGGCCGCGTTGGGAAGAAATTTTTTCCGGTTGTTCCATATTTCGTGGTTTTTCCCATTTCACATTGGCTCCCCTTCCACCCTTCCCCCCCCTCCCCGCACTCTCCGCCCTGCTCGACAGGGAAATTCTTGGGGATTTGGGGAAAAGCAGGAAAATTTTCGGGAAGTTCCGGGAAAAGTTTCGGGAAATCAGGATCATCCCCCACCCTTCCCCCCGCTCGGAAACCTTCTGCGTGAAAAACTGGTAGGAAGTTGGGGGACATGTGGGAAAGTGGTAGGGAGGTGTTGGGGGATCGGGGGAGGGTCGTACAGGAGTGGGGGGGTCTCACTGACACCACGATTCCATACATCATCCTGTACCCTGCCCCCAAATAAAACAACACCTTTTTTATACAGCTTAGTTGCTTCGATGTGTAGACTATCCAGTTTCGCTTAACAGGCGTTCGATAGTATCGGCGGTATGGTGGCACATTCGGAATATCCTCCAAAAGGCGTTCTCCATCTTGATGCCGATGAGAGATGGTCGTTCGATGGATCCGACGGAGTGGATTTGCGCTACGTACGTTTCTTGTGTTCTCCCTTAAGTTGTGCTCTGGCCCTTTGATCTGGCCTGTTTGGGATCGATCAAAGGATTTCACACGCACTCAAATGTGTCTCTGAGCGCATTTGACCGCGAGGGAGATTGGGGTCGTCTTTGGTCGTTGTTTGGAGAGGGACCGCCAAAATTTTTACAAAAAACTATTTCCGATAGTTTGAAAAATACAGGGCGACGCTCCTCTTCCCCGAATTGAAATATTGCGGAACATGGGAGAACCAGAAATTTTTGGGGATTGGTTTTGGAAAAACTTGGCAGGTGAATCCAAAAATTTTCCCTGTTTTCACATTGGTTAATATACCTCCCCTCCCACCACTCGACGGAATATTCTTGGTACGGAAGATTCATGGTTGAGAAACTGGAAATTTTTTAGGAAAAAATGGAAAAAAGGTAGGAAGTTGGGAAAATCTAGGAAAGTGGTAGGTAGCATGGGGAGGGGGTCGTATTTGAGGATGGAATTAGAGGGGGTCGTATTTTTCAGGAATGATCACAACGCGATGGAGTGCCCTGTCTGAGACTCATTAAGTAGTAAGCCCGGTATGCAAGAAAATCAAAATGTGCCAGAGCGGCACTTTCGATTTTCTTGCCACATACCCGGCGTGGAGAATCCCAGAAAGAAGGAGTTCAATTCCAGAAGCATCACCCTTTTTGCAGTTATTTGAAACCTATTGGTAGTTAGACGTTCTGATAAGAAGTCCATTTAGGTGATTATTCATGAAGTCGGTCATCTTCTCGGCCTACGACATTCACGAAAACAGTCTTCAGTTATGAGCAAGTACTATAGGTAAGGCTTAATCTCGTTCTCTTCTCACAGCTGACATCCATGCCGCGACAGGGCGAGGCGTTGCCCACACCTTACAGTAGATGAGAGTCGGGTGAAGCCACAGTGCAACAGTAGATCCGAAAGAGCTCTTTCAGAAATGCTTTCTAGAAACGTTCACCATTGTATGCAGATATCACAAAGTCCTACAATTCTATAAAGCAGTAACTTTATGTGTCGGTTTGTCGTTGTCACCATTGCAGACGGTGGCGCGGGTGAGCCGCGCCGCGTGGTGACTCGGCGCTGCGAGTCACACGCTGCGCGGCTCACCCGCCCCACCGCCTTCTGCAATGATGAGCGACTGCATGTACTGATATGTTTGTCCGCAAATGGCTTCACGGTACGATTTAAGTTAAGCGGAGGAGAATGCGACCACTAGACAAACCGGAAACCGTTTGGTGCAGATGTATCAATCCAATGTTTTGATTGTGATAACAGCATAGTATATAAGACAACCGATTGGTACATCTCCCAAACCAATTGACGAGCTCGCTCGCGCGCAGTTAGACGTGCCTGCTCGTGCGGACACCCTGTATGCATGGAGGGGAGGGCGGGGGAGCTACAAGTTGACCCTCCCCTCTGTTACCCTCGCTACTCAGCCGGAATGGGAGCACCTGCAGCGGAGGCAGGGAGTGAAGATATTGGTCCCATAGTGAACGATAAGGGGGGTGGGGAGAAGGAGCGCATGCTAGGAGCACACAGTATAGAGGCGATACAACCGCTAACACAAACTACCAGTAAATCACGATAGTAACAACTGTGATGGTTGTTGGATTGTGCTTACACCTCATAGAAAGACTACCATTTACACACTCCGAGCCATTGCACGAAACACTTCGACGTAGCAGCTGAGCCTGCTGCGCGTGGGTGCGCCACTGATCTAATCACTTCCTTCAAAATGACTATGAGCGGCTAAGTGAATATACAAAAAACCGTATCCATGATGAAGTACGCCTGGCAAAGCCAAGCCAGCTAAAGAGAAGGAGGAGAGCTCGCCGACAACCGGGCGATCCGACTGGTATTTCCTATAAAGCAGAGGCTGAAAGCTGAAATCATGGCCAAGATGAGTGGCCTCCAGCGGGTCAGCCTACTCAATTTATTCAAAACATCACCTTCTTGGCGCTATGATCATTCAGATTACACTCGATACTCACCGCAACGTCGGGTCGCCAATCAGCCGGTTCTCACATACGGTCCCATCATGATGTTCCGTCCTGCATCGATTTTACCGTGCGCATTGGTAGGCAAGTGGAGCGAAGGGCGGACTCGACAATCGGCACTGCTTAGTCACCTGACCAGTCCGCAATGATGAGGAACTGTATGTTGTTTGCACCTCTTGAAGTTCACTCCTCTGTATGTAATGCTAACCACCCCCCCCCCCCCCCCCCCCTCCTTTCACAGCTGCACTTTAAGGCCAAGCCTAGCGGACCACAGACTCGTCGGTACGGAATCCACATGAACGAAAAAGGGGCTAGGTATCTGAGTAGCGGAGAAAAGCAGCAGAAAAACAGCCGAAAATGCCCTAAATAGGATTCCATATCGACCCCAACTTGTACATGCATGCAGTGAAATAAAATGCATGTGGACGAATCCCCACTCGTCGTTATCATAAGATATCATGCTCTTTTATCGTATCAGCCTCGCACTCTCACCATCCGGAATGGAGAGAATAGCACAGTGGCTACTAGCTAGTAGCTAGCAACCGGTGGGGTCGGCATGGGCCTAAGGGGCGCCCTTGGGCCTAATTGCTTAGTTTGAAGCGGAATTCTTGCGGATTTTAACTTTCGAAAAGGTAAAAAAAGGGCGAAGGCCCCTCCCCCCCGCCCCCCCCAATTTTTTTTCTTCCGTTCGGATCGTCCTGACACATTTTGAAACTCACTAGCATATTTTTAATCGCTGAAAGTGCCTTTAATACTTAAGGGCAGTTGGCACGATAAATTCCTAAGCATAAGACTAGTAGGATTAATACGCCGGGCCGGACGGAATTCCACGCCTGTGAGCAGGTGTGGCGCCTTTTTCAAGGAGCGTACCATAATAATGCCCTATCAAGCTGCTACATACCGACCCGGCCGCCCACCGCGCCCGCCCGCCATCAAATGGACGACCGTACTGATGCGCGTTTTACGTCATTTGCGAATACGAAGCGAAGAGACTGATAGGAAGCGGCCGAGGTGCTACATGGATATATGAGTACATACGTGCAGCCGTATCTACCGTAGCGGTTATTGGCACGATGCCTACGGGAAACTCGTCCGAAATTGCTTTTGAGTCATGAAGACGAAGGCTTTTCTTCGCAGGTTTTCGACCGTTTCACTTCGTTTTTTCGCCATCCCACTATACATCATCATGCCAGCATTTTACACCGAGTACGAAATTATCGTGCCATACGCCTTGAATTGAGTGGGAAAGCAGGCTCACTATTCTAGCTCGAAGTGGTATCCGGTGTGGCCAATATTGTGGTTCCTAGTAGATTCGGGATCGGGAGCGAATGATCTCCGACAAGAACAAGGATATGAATTGCTCAAAACTACACAGCTGTATCCCTTTCGCTTGAAAGTTATTTCATGGAACTCACTCCCAAAATCCATAGGACCCATTTAATATATAGTAGGGAGGCGAAGAACTGAACTGAACAATATAGCCGGCTAACCGGCTGTGGTGATGATCCTACTATATATAATCCGCTAAGTATGTCTGTGTGTGTGTGTGTCACGAAATTCATAGCGCCGGTCCCAGTAGCAGTGAGACATTGATTTCAAGAAGTGATGTAGGGGGTGTGACGGGAATTGGTGGGTGACAGGAAGTGATATCAGTTGATAAGATCGATAAGAGGCGTTAGAAGGGGAGGTCACCATATTCATAACGCGGGTGACAGCATCAGCTAGCTCTTGATTCCAAGATATGATATAGGGTATGGGCCAAGAACATCATTAGTGGGTCACAAAAACTGTAAGCTGCTGATAAGATTCGATAAGGGGCGTTAGAAAGGTGAGGTCATCGTATTCACAGCGCAGGTCACAGCATCAGCGAGGCATGCGTTTCAGCAAGTGATATAGAGGGTGAGATGGGGACATCAACCGTGGGTGACTGGAAGCGATAACTACTGATAGGGGCTGATAAAGAAAGTTGCAGTCGTCGTCGCTGTTCAAGGTGTTCACGCTACCAATTGATAGGTAATCTTATCAATCGATAAAAACGGATTGGATACCATTTACGCGACATTTTTATCATTTCTCACCGCTTTTGTCCGGGTATTAGAGGCTCAGGGTGTGAAATCATTGCTTCGGTGGCAACGAATCATGGTCGTCCATTAAAGTGTTTCTACTAGATGCGTGAAATGCCGTCGACCGGGGAAGGGGGGGGGGATGTAGTAGGTGGGGGGGGTCTGTAGTGCGGCTGAAACGGGAAAATCGGGAAATTGGGACGTTCTGCCGGTGGTCGGTGGTAATTTTCGAGCTCACTGTGCGATACACAGCTTGACATGTACAGGCAATGTATAGTTCTCCTTTCCTGCGCCATTCATGACTCCGCACTTGAGCCTCTTATAGGTGTTAAGGACTCATTCAGACTAATTCAACTTTACTCATTCTGGTGTTGCAATTGCGTTCCTTAATGATATAGTGTAGCCTTCTCACCGTTTAAAGTCTGCTTTAAGCTAGGAGGGATCAGATGTTGGTAGATGATTAGCTGTGAGCTTCTCACCACTGATCTCCCACATTCCAACAAAAAAAATAATCGACATTATTTGGGTTATTTAGTGCATTCTACCTCGTTCAGGGGCAGAGTGCCTCTCGAAGCCAGGTCAGCCCGGTGAAACCAGGGCCTCGAAAAAGAAGGAGGAGCATCCGGCGGCAGCCAGCCCGTGTGACCCGAGTGGTAAAACAATAATATGACTGGCTCAAATCAGAACGGAGCAACAGTATAACTATTGAATCAACAGCAGCATCAAAACTGCGCTTACTGTTTTGCACTATGAAGTCTTTTAAGTGCCGGTCAGCAGGTTGCGGTAGGTCTGTGGGATGTTGGCAACGATGACATGTCATATAAAAATCCTTTTAGGAATCTTTCGTCGGGTATGCGTCTTCCTTTAATCGACAAACGCTCAATTCAACGGCTATACGGACTGAAGAGGATTCAGTAGAGTTCGCGTTGATCGACGTCGCTTTGAAAAAGTTCACAATGATTGCTCGATCAATGACTACTATGTATATGGGTCATAGTGCAGTTCATAGATGTACTACAGTTTTGGTATACGCCTGTCGACCACGAAAGCCTCCCGTTGATGCTGTTCGGCTTAGGGGGGGGAGACATCTCAATAGATGGTATGTACGAGAAGACGTAAACTGCCGTGGTGAAGCCATGAGATGGCACTCAAGGTTGGCTAAGCTTGTGTCACCTTGTGAAGACCTGTTAACTCATGTAAAGCTAATGCCTTGCAGTGTGAACCTTATTTTATTTTGTACCCAAAACTTAAAGGCACGGTCCGCGATCATGGTATCGAAGTTGAAAATATGGCGTCAGGAGGTTAGAGTGGTCCGCGACGAACAACCTTGTACCGGTTTCGCGGCAAAAAATTCTATGGGAGGGGCGCTGTAGCGCAATATAGGTTCAGTGGCTCCTCCTTTTTTCCAGTGACTCCGCCTCCAGACTCCGCCCCTAATGACCGACTTCCAGTGAAAATGAGATTGCAGGACGAAAAAGCATGATAATCGCCACTTGTACGATCGTAGAAATCTTATCGGTGAATCAGCCGTGCATATGAGGGCGTAGTTTGGAGATAGAGTTGATTGGGCACGTACAAACTGGGATCGAAATGGGGTTCTATCTAAGGCAGGTGGCATGTTTTTTGCGCTTTTTTGTTCACAGTCGAGTTACGCAACCCCTTGTT